CGGGCTGGCGGTGCTGGGCTATGCGGCGGCTCTCAGCGCACAGCCCACCTACCAGGGGGTGGTGCGGGCGGTGTGCGGGGCGGCCGTGGGGAAGCTCTGCGAGGTCTGCTTCCTCCTCAACCTCTTCATGATCTCCGTGGCCCTTCTGAGAGTGGTGGGCGACCAGCTGGAGAAACGTGAGTTGTTTTCGCCCACCGCGTTTGGGGCTCGCTTGGGGCCGGCAGCTCTCGGCAGCGAGGGAAGCTGGTCCCAGGGTGGGCTGGGCTCAGCCCAGGCTTTTCCTGCAAATTCTGGGAACGTGGCACTCCCTGGGCCTGGGGCTCCTGCCATAGTGTGATGCTCCCGAGCCCCCTGGGCCACCTTTCAGGGTGCAGCTGAACCCCCTCTGCCCCCACAGTGTGCGACTCGCTGTACCCCAACGTGACCCTGAGCGGGGTCCCCCAGCTGCCCCCCTGGTACGTGGACCAGCGCTTCACCCTCTCTGCTCTCTGTGTCCTCGTCATCTTCCCGCTCTCTGTGCCCAGGGAGATTGGCTTCCAGAAGTACTCCAGGTACCACCTGGGGGATCCCTGGGGTTGCTCCCCCCTGGGTACCCTATATGCCAGGTTTTCTCCTGGGAACCTGTGGGGCCATGGGACCCCCTCTCCCTTTGTCCCAGCTGCGTGCTGACACTCTCCCATGTCCTGGCAGCATCCTGGGCACGCTGGCCGCCTGCTACCTCACTCTGGTCATCATCCTGAAATACTACCTGGAGACAGAGAGCCTGAGCTTGAGCAACCCACCCCAGCGCTCCAGGTAAGGGGGTCAGCCCCGTGTCTCTCCTGAGACCTGACCTGCCCTGACCTCCATGACATCAGCAGTGGCAGGGGCAGGGCTGCAGGTGGGACAGGGCTGGAGGTGGGGCAGGGCTGCAGGTAGGGCAGGGCTGCAGGTAGGGCAGGGGTGGTCCTGGGCCCCGTGTGTGTGGGGCAGAGGGGGAGCTGGGGACAGCACACAATAGTGGTAGGTGGATAGCAGCTCCCAGCCCCATTTTTTACTCCAGCAATTCCCCTTTCTCCCAAAATCACCGTGCAGGAGGCTCCCTTGGTGGCATCCAGGCTGCACAATTTATGCCACCTCTGCTTTTGTGAGCCTCACACCCTCCACTCTGCTTCCTCCCCACATGCCACAGGTCCTCCTCCTGGGCCTCCATCTTCAGTGTCGTTCCCACCATCTGCTTTGGTTTCCAGGTAGGTCTCAGCTGCCAGGGCAGTGCTGGCAGCCTCCCACGCCATCCCAGACCATGGGGCTGCCATCCCTTGAAGGGGAGCTTGCAGGGAAGGGGACTTGTGGCCGTCACCAGAGGTGGCTGCAGGGCAGGATGCAAGTCCCTGGGGATGGGACAGAGCAGGGCAGGGCACCCATAGGTGACAGGGATGATGCTGGGAGGGGGGGTGTCCCTACATGGGGCCCCAGCACCACTCCCCCTTGCCTTGCAGTGCCACGAGGCATGTGTGGCCATCTACAGCAGCATGAGCAACCAGAGCTTCTCCCACTGGATCACTGTGTCTGTGCTCTCCATGCTCATCTGCCTGCTCATCTACTCCCTCACCGGTAACCCAGCACCAAACCCCTCACCCTCTCCTTGTCCCGGGGGTCCCCTCTGCCCATGGCTCCCCCATCCTCCTTGGGGCTCCTCTGTCCTGTCCTGCTCACCCTCCCTGTCAGCAGGGCTCTATGGCTACCTGACCTTCGGCGAGGCCGTGGCGTCCGACGTGCTCATGTCCTACCCGGGGAACGACCCGCTCGTCATCGTCGCCCGCCTGCTCTTCGGCGTCTCCATCGTCACCATCTACCCCATCGTGGTGCTGCTGGGCAGGTGAGGGGGTGGGGACGGGCTGGGTGCCCCCCCAGCCGGTGCAGCTGCTCTGGGTGCCACGAGCCCCCCGATCCCCTCTTGCAGGTCTGTGGTGAGGGACCTGTGGGCACCCCCCAAGCGCGGGGCGGCGGCGGCGCCCGAGGCGCAGGAGCGGCGGGGCCGGGTGGCACTGACTGTCACCTGGATGGGTGCCACCCTCACCATCGCCCTGTCCGTCCCCGACATCGGAAAGGTCATCGAACTCATCGGGGGCATCAGCGCCTTCTTCATCTTCATCTTCCCAGGCAAGGAGGCAGGAGGAGGGGGGGAAGGGCTCTGCCGGTGCCGGGAGCGTCGCTGGGGTGGTGGGGGGCCCATCCTGGCCCCGTTTGGGGGTGCAGGGCTGGGAATGCCCCAGCGGGGCTGGGTCAGGGTACTGTGGCAGAGGGGCTGAGCTCCTGCCCTGACAGCAGGGCTGTGCCTGGTGTGCATGACCGGGACCCGCAGCCTGGGACCACGCAAAAAGTGAGTTATCTGCGTTTGCGGCGGCGCGGGGAGAGCCAAGGGGCAGGGGCAAGGGCAGGGCATGGCAGGCCAGGAACCACGGCCCAGGCAGATCCCTGGTGGTCACCCTGGCCAGGGTGGAACCCTGCAAGAGGGGATTTGGGTGTGGAGGGAAGTGCTCTGCTGGGGCTGTGCCAGGGTATCAGGATGTGCCCAGGCAAGGGGGTTGTACCCAGCTATCGAGGTTGTGTCTGGGTATCTGGGGTGTACCCGAGTACCAGGGCTGTGCCCAGGTATCTGGGGTGTACCCGAGTACCAGGGCTGTGCCCAGGCATCAGGGAGATGTCCTGGTACCAGAGTAACTGTAGGGGCAAAAGAGCTGTGGTGTTGGTGGCACTGGGACACTGGTGAGGGCTGAGGTGGGGTCAAGCTGGGGCTCAGGTTGGGTGGCAGAGGTGCCCCAAGGCAGGCAGCCGTGGGGTGTTCAGTGTCTGTTGTGCCAGGGCAGTGTCCCCATCACCGCTCTTGTCCTGAGAGGCTGGGGCACAGCAGGAGCCCATGGCAGGGGGACCGGACATGGTGCTGGCAAGTTTTGGGGTGTGTGTTAAGTGTGTCTGCAGTGCCCCCGGGAGAGCAGCAGAGTCTGAGTGAGGATGGAGGTCATGTGTGTGGAGGGGTCCTGTCCCCCATGGTGAGTGGAGGGAGCACCCAAGGACCTTGGAGTCTTGGTCAGGAGGGTGTCCTGGGGCTCCATGGCTGTCTGGGCAGGAGTGAGGGTACCACCAAGGGTGCCCCCAAAGCTGCCAAAGTGCTGGAAGGGCCGAGTCAGGAGGTGAGGTGAGGTGACAAGGGCTTGGAGAAGTCCCCTGGGGACACCTGCCACAGCACGAGCCTGTCACAAGGAGAGGGGACAACAGAAGCTGGGGTGATGAAGACTGCGAGGGGACCGTCCCCGCTGGCCTGGGGCAGTTTGGGAAGGAGCACAGCGCTGATGACCCCACGGAGCAGCAGCAGGGTTGGGGGTGAGTGCTGCATCCCAGGGCATCCACTGGAGGTGGGGGCTGTGTGTCTGGGGAGAGGGAAACAAGGAGGTGCAGACTGATGGGTGGCAGAACTGGGGATGGAGATGGGGAGGGGAAGGGTAAGAAGCATGAGGCAATAGGATGGGTTTGGGGGCATGGCTGTGCCGAGCACAAGGTGGGTGGATGTGGATCTGTGCTCCCTCAGTGGGGCCGCTGGGCACAGGCAGAGCTGGGAATGATCTCGTGGTGGCATCTGCAAGGCTTTTGACTGAGATTTGTGTGTCGTTGCAGTGGTCCCTGGGGTTGGGCCAGAGGGGCTGCTGAGCTCCTCAGCATCCCCTGGGAACGGTGCAGAGGAGCCTGGCAGAGGAGGCTGAGACCCTGCAGAGAG